TACAAGTAAGTTTGAAGATAATATGAAGGGAATGGATAAGATCATCTCTGTAGCCAGATTACTTTGATTCTGTTCTGGCTTTACTACTTATAGGTTTAACATCTTTTTTTGTTTTCATTTTCTCTTCTATAATATAATGGATGTTAATAGTACCAGTCATCTTGGATCAAATGAATTAGTTCAGGTAAAATGCTATAGCAGTGAGTCCTTTTAAATCTTTTTTCAGTGTTGATTACTGCCATGGTGCTGCCACTGGTTAAGAGTTCTAGCCTGCAAATCTGCAAAAACTTTGTAATAACTTTGCTTCATCTGGAATGCTCTCCTTCATTCCTGAAGTTATTTTCTTTCAGCACTGTAAAATGTTTTTCTACTATCTTCTGGCTCCATAGTTTCTGTGGAGAAATTCTGTGATTTGAATTACTATTCTCTTATATGTAAAATGTAACTTTTCTCTAAATACTTTGAAGGTATTTTTTCTTTATCTTTGACTTCAGTAATTTGTTTGTTTATATATTTTAGTGTGGTTTCTTTTGAATTTATCTTTGGTTCCTCTGAATTAAATTTATGCCTTTAAAATTCCAGAAATTTTCAGTGACTAGTTTTTCAAGTTTGTTTGTTTGTTTTTTCCCCTAGACCAATCTTCTTATGACTTTTTGTGAGATGAACAGTGTATCTTTTAATGTTGCACAGGTTCCCTAAGGTTCCTTTTGGTTATCTTTTTTCTTTTCATCAGATTGTTTTTATTGATCTATTTTCAAGTTCACTGACTTTTTTCCTCTTTTATTTCCTTCCTGCCTTTGAACCTATCTAGTGAATTTTGAAATTTCAAACATAATAATTTATCAGTTCTAAAATATCTGTTTGGCTGTTTGCTTAATATGGTTTTATGTCTTTGCTAAGAACTTTCATCTTTGCATTCATTTCAAAGTGTTGAAATTTATTTCACAGAGGGGGGTTATATTGGCAGCTTAAAACTATTCTTCTAACAGTTCCAGTATCTGATCCACTTTGAATTTGGCATCCATTGATTTTCTTTTGGTATTGTATACTGGACATTTTATGTTTTTTTTTAAACCTTATAGAATTAATTTTTAATTAATTTGTTAATTAACAAATTAGTTAATTTGTTTGTTCTTTTTAATCACTCTGAATCAGATTGCAAAATCTGTATCATCTTCATGGATGATGGTCCAGTATTTGCTGTAATATTAGAGTGTGCCTGGTACATCATACATTCAGAAGTTATCTTGGGACTTGGGCAGTGGAATATATTTTTACTTATGCTTTTGTAGTTTTTCAAATCATGTTTATTGAGGCAAAGCAGGTTTATATCATTGTATCTGGTCTGGGAACTATAGGTTCAACCTATAATTGTTTAGGATTGATATGTATGTTTTCATCCTCTTCCCACCTTTTGGACTGTCCAGCAGCCCTCCACTATGTTCTACCCAGTCATCAATCTCCTCCTCTGGTTGCCTGAGTTTTGCAGTCAGACATAAGAATTCATTATTGGTTTGGTTTTGACTGACTCTGGTAGTTTCTCCATATTCTACATACAAGAGATACCATCTGGTATTTGTCCTTTTTCCTTCTGATTTATTTTGCTTAGTTTTATCCCTTCTAGTTCCATCCATGTTGGCAAAAAGATGTGGAGGAAAGGGAATCCTTA